CAAACCCTAAGCAACTGAAGAGAAGAACGACGCCTGGAAAGAAGAGAAAAAAATGAGCATCAGTTCTCTTGCGAACTATTTTCGTTCCGAAGCGATCGAGAACAAGCGAACGTGGGCTTGCTGCAGAGCGACAACTTTTTTTGCGTTTTTGTCAATCCGCCGAAGTCTGATTAGTTCAACGACCATCATCCGCTTCTGTGGGACCTTCCCGAGCCCGGCCTAAGGAACGCGAGAAAAAGCTTAAATTCTTAAAGCCACTCTTTTCTGTCGACGCCGTCGACTTCTGATTTTTCAGTCGAACAACTGTCCGATAACAGGTGACCGCCGTGACCACCGATGTGTATCAATCGCGGTTAAAACACTAGAGCCCGGCCACGGAAATCCAAGGTCCGTGATGATCTTGACCAAAGTTCCAAGAGCATCTCGGGTCGTCGGCCGCTAGGTGAGTTGGGACGCGCTTAGCCTGAAGCACCGGGGGCACTCTTCCGCTTGGCTGACAACAAACACGCTTACAACTCGCTCCCACGCCAAATTGGCTCGTATAAGCATTCTGGCTGAGCGAGTCAATGTCAGATTCAAGACTCTGTTATCCTCCAAAATTCCTGTCCGTTTGTCTTCGTTTCTTCTCTGCTTTTTTCTTCATTCCCACGGCTCCCTTGGAAACGACGCTGGACAGCGGTCGAGAAGGCTGTTCAACCCTTGACGCATGTCCGGAGCTCATGATTCGAGGGAGCGACCGTAGTAGTTCGTTCGTCGGAGGACACGTGATGGCAATTAATTTCGAGGAAGTTTTTTCTCTTCATATTGAATCCATTTCGCCCACCGATATGGATGAGCTCGCAGCGCTTGTGAACCTTCATGGGCTTCGGAATACTTGGAGAAAACGGCGCGGCGGTCGAAGAAAAGTTCACTATCAAAATGACGGGAAAAAAATACTTCGTCGTCGCGGCTTGCCCCCTGCGAAGAAACGACGCCGCGAAATATTCCCACGCTTAAGTATGGCAATTACAACGGATGCTGCAGCCGGCCGCACCTCCTCCAGATGAGGAGTGCGCCACCCGACGCCCGCCCGCTCGACCGCTCGCTTCGACCGGTGGCCAGATTGGCTACGCAAAGATAAATGAGCATCTGACACCCATAAAGCATCTTTTTGGGATTTGGGATTTTTCTCGTCATCACGTAACAACGACTTGAAAGTCCGACGGAAAAGTACTCCGCGCTCTTGCGTCCTACCTCAAAATCACCGACCTGCGAACGATTGCTGATTCAATTATTATCTGGTCTCTCGCCACTCCAGCTGACAGATACGAACCCATAGTTCTGTTCCATCCTCAAACCACATCGTAACGGAAGGAATACCCCGTTTTGCAAGCACACACAAAAACCGAGAGGAACTTCGTCTTACTATGCTTCGTTTCGAAAGGTCTGTCGTACCAATCATTGCATTGATTGCGGTCAGTAGAAAAAGTCGCAAGCGAAAAAACACTCGTGGCCACCCACTGCCAGAATACCTATCTGCGGAGTCTTCGCCGAGCGACGATGAGCTGAGTTTTTCTCCGACGGAAACTGCCTCTTGGTGGGACACAGATGTCGAAATGTCAACGACTGCTTCAACTACGAACACACTAACTTTCCGCGTTTCATTTCCTCCGTTTGACGCATTGACTCTTCGATGCGAGAATCTTTGGCGGCCCCCGTTTTTTTTCGTGAGTCTTCGGCCCGACGCTGATTCTAGGATGAGAGTCTACCGTCTAATTTCTCAGGCATTTCCACCGTGGGTGTCCGTCGCGGGAATCGCGAAAAAAACGAAAGACTCGTCGAAAAACATGACGACTTGATCTGCCTCCAAGGCCACCGAATCACGAGGGTAAGACTCCGTCGGGAGAACAAACAACGGCTGACCTGCCGCATGGAATCGTTTGTTTCTCGTATTCATGTCTTGAAATCGATCCCCGCGATCTTCTGTTCACCTGTTGCTGAGCCGTGAGCAGGTGACTGCGTCAAACGTGTTCAGTCATAACGTTAAAGGGAACATCGAACCAAATTCCTTTCCTGTGAGCCAGTGGAAGCTACACCGAGCAGTTCACGCACTGGAACCTCCACCAGAAACGAGCGCATGGATCGGCCGATCAGGAACGAAGAGGACGATTCTGTAAACCAAGGATTCTGATCGGGGGCATCGATACGAAAGTGATCCGACGTTCCGGATAAATCCTCTGGTTTCCTGGGACTCTGTGGATCTGGCGTGAAGCGGAAACCTCCAGCTCGTAGCGAGGTGTGAACTCTGAGGGAGAGGCGTCTCATCGAGGCGACGAAACCACGATGACTTCTGCTGTGTCCGGATCAAGAACTGATTCGAAGAGGAGCTGCTCTTGATGGCGATCGATGACGGATACACCCACGAGCAATTTTCATAAAAATTAGGTGACCGAGATCTGAGCTCTTCATCTTTCTCTCCAGCGGATTCCGCTAGTGGCTCTATCCTTTCTCACTCGACGTTCGGAGGCAGGCAGGCGGGCGAGTAGGCAACGTTGCTCTTCTGAGAGGCCTCAACTTTGGCGGCCCCAAATCTTCTGTTGCTTTCGTTCTCCGGGCTCTTTTTTCTGTTGGGGCCAATAGTACGTTGTTCTGTTCTCCGTTGGCTGGTCGTGGTCGTCGTCTTCTTTTTCTTCGTTGTCGTAGTCGGAGGAGCCAGCCTACCTACCTGCCTGGCCGTCTGTCGGTCGGTCGGTCGGTCGGCCGGCTGGTCGGTCAGTCAGTCAGTCGGTAGACCGGGTAGTTGGGTAGACAGTCGAAGCGAGGAGCGAGGGCAACCTTTGCTCCAAAGTGGATCAGGTGCGACTACAGCATTCGTCCGGGTTTCGTTTGCAGAGGCCGCCTAGCCGGCACACACCTCTTCAGACGGAGCACAAAACGCCGTGAAGTCGAATCGATAGTCGAGCATGTATGTAGTACGACAGTGTCGAGACTCGGTCGACTGGGGCTTATCGATTTCATTTGCGACGCCTCGTACGTAACGGTGGCGGTTCTGTTACGCAATTTTCCGGCTCTCCTCGGTTTTCATCGCGAGTCTGTGAGCGAAAAAATTCCGAAAGGCGTAGCGGGGGATCGTTCCTTCCCAAGGAGCGGGAATTTCATTAGATCCGGCCGGGAGATAATGGAATCATGGAGACAAGCGAGGCGGAAGTAGTTACATGGCGTTGTGAACACGCCGGAATCGGTGCACACGGAATTTCGACGAGCTGTCGACGGAATCTGCCGAAAGAATACCCCGAATCGAGAGGACAGGTAAACAAGTCCGTCAGCGCACGACCGACCCCCTGTACGTCGTCGTATGGCGAGGGAAAAACTCAGAAGCCCCCGATGGGCAGCTCGGCGCGATCATCATGAGAGAAACATGAAGCATCGACAGCGGAGGAATAGCAGCACCCTTATCGGAATGTCGAATCGCTACTCTGCTCACCCGCTCGTTTTGGAACCAATTATGAGTCGGTCAATCCGAAGGGTCGAATCCGGGATGTTCTCGCTTTCTAGGAATCGAAGAAAATCCCGCGAGCACAACGACCGAACGTGGTCCGTATCAAAAGGATTCGTATCTCGCTCACGTCGGCGCCGTCGTTGGTTAGCTTGACGATGCAGCGTCCAAATGGAAGAGGCATGTAAAAACAAGGGACAACAAACAGGCAAACATTTCAAACCTGTTTCCAAGATGGGTTCGTTGACGGACATGAAAAAATTTGAACTCTCGATACGTAGATGGAGTCGTCCATGCCTATGAACTTCGTGGACCGCGTCATTTCTAAAATTCCGTATCATCTCTTCCCGGAAACTTTCCCAGGTGTGTCAATTCTTTTTCGAGTTTGGCAGATACTAGATACCCCCTCTCTAAATGGAGGAGCATTTGAAATCGGAATCAAAACTGAGATTGAGGTAAGGGGATTGGAACAGGACATCACGGCTCCCCTCGCTTCAATCGCTGGGAGGCCGAGTTCACCCCTCGTTGATGCTCCTTTATTGGGGATTCGTACACGGGCGGAATCTCTCCGTATCAAGGGAATAAAACAATACACAGCTTATCTACGGGATGAAAGCATATGTAATTTGGCCAGATAAGCGAAGCTCACACCCATGACTTTACAAGCCCCGTCAGAAAGTCTACGAGGGAGGAACTTTTCGCCTCCTCCTTCTTTTACGGCCGAACGGAGTTGTTTCGGGGGACGCTTTGTTGTCGTGACAAGATTCGGTACTCGGCAAGGAAGAGCAACAATGGACCGCGCAAAATAGAACATAGTTTTTATTGATTTAGTATTTTTCCCTATTTCTCTTAACAGCCCTCCGATCCGCCCGAGAAACAAACGAAGTGAGAGGATCTGTCGAACGGAGCGACATGCCGGGCGTCGAACGAATGAAGCGTCACAACGGCCGGCCAGAAAGACAGCCACTTAGCTAACCAAGAAATCAAACAAACGAGGAACAAACCAACAAGCCGCGCATCCGAGCAAGCAATCCAGTTTCTCCCAGCTGATCAGGGCGTTCATTGCCGTGATCGATGGATCGTGCTTCCAACACTATTTTCCTCTTCTGACCCTTTCTCAATTCGTATCTGCGCTATCGCGTTGTTTTCCTCGCACGTAAGAGTGCCCATGCGACTCTCGATATGGGTTCAATTCCGCCTGACCGCACTCGGAGACTCCCTATATCGAGGTCGCACACTTTCTGCTGGATCTGGAAGCTATTAGTAGTACTTTCGAGGCATGGACAAGAGCTGTCGAGATACTCCCCCTGTCACTCGCTTCGAAGCGTCGATGTACGCCAAGAAATGAAGTTTCACAACGCGAGGAATCTTGACGACGCCGACGGTCGCTCACTCCCGCAAAACGTCTATCGCCGTGACAGAGTTTACTGAATACCACTAAACTATGTACAAGGGGACAGCCCTTTTTGAGCGGTCCGGAATGCTACAGTACGGCACCATCAG